GGGGGGGGGGGGGGGAACGCACTAGCTGCGCGCCCCCCCCAGTAGACCAGGGAGATGCGGGCGGCGGACCGAGACGCACCGCGGAGCACGCGGGCAGCAGACAGCCCAGACGCACCGTGGCTGTCCCGCTGCCGGCGTCCTCAGAGGCTTTGCTCCCCGTCTCTCTGGTCTGCTGGTCTCCAGGGAGACGGAGCAAACCCCGTTTGTAACTGCGGATCCGACATAAGTCGGATCCGCGTAACTCAGGGACTGCCTGTATTCTGAAATAAGTCTGAATTGGATCAGTTTCCATAACTGAGGTAAAACAGGCACAAATGTCAAGACTTTTTTCATAATGGCTGCTACTCCTGTATAAAACATTTCTGGATCCAGAGCCACTTTGTGGTAGGTTAGGAGGGAATTGGCAGGCAAATACAGGTTTTTTTTATTTTTTTATTTTATTTTTAAAGTGGACTGTACAATGGCATGGCTAAGGCAGCATTTCTGAAATATTACCTTCTAATGTGGGGAAACACTTCAGTCTCTTCTGTCTTAAGTGACTTCAGAAGAGGAGAGTGGGGGGCATATTTCCAAACAAGAGGCCTGTTCCCTTGCTTCATAGAGTTTAACGTCAGGGATAAATAACAAAACCACTTCTGCGTGTCATTAAGACTCTCCAGTGCATGGAAAGGCTCCCTAAAACATCTGATGATCGAAGTAGGACTAATCACATTTACATGTTGGTATTTGTGGTGTAGGCAGAAAGAGGCTTGGGATTTATAATATAGTTTTGGCCCAGTTCCTGAATAGTAGTAGGAAGCATTTTTATGCTATTACCAGATCCATTTGCATAATGAGGGCTCAATATTCAACTTAAGGGTCAGAAAAAGAAAGATCTTGTAGTTGTAAGGATATGATAAACCAGAGTGCTGGTAGAAAAACCTTTTATTTCAAATATTAAACATTTTCATTAACATTTTTGAACTATTTTAATCATTTATCAACCAGTCTATTAGGGAAGTATTCTTAAACTCCCAAATGATTCTTTTTGCTTGAACTAATGCACCTTGGTCTGAAGCTGGAAATTGAGAACAAGTCTGAAAAGAAACCGGAGGAGACAAACTCCAGTGCCAGAGACAACATGGAGGCAGCGATTAGCACATCACAATTTGTCAGAATTTGGCAAGAAGATACAATAAATCTCCAGAGAAGGACCAGCTAGAAAGCGATACAAAATGAAGGCAGGAAATGATGGTGACTTCCCTCTCAGAAGGTTGAGGACTGCAAGTATCACACTGAGTGGCAATAAGTCAGGCAATATAGCTACAGAACGCTGCAGATAACTGCATTTTTTTTAATTAAGTTAGCCAACAACACTATCTTATCTCTTTTTATATCAGCCTCATAATTATACTATATCAGCCCCATAATTATACTATCAGCTAAAGACATTGTAAGAAACAATCTAAATAGAGAAAACCATTCAGATTCAAAATGTCCTGGATGATCAGTGGACAGGGGGCCCCATGAATTATGGTTCAGATCCCCTGCTGGTGTAAATTTGGTATAGCTTCAATGACCTCACTAGAGCAATACAGGGCTTGAACTGGGACAGATCAGCAATACAACACTTTTTTGAGGATGCTATCTTGTTCTTCAGAGTTTCTGCTTTCATTTAAAATCAAACCCAAAGTCTCTTGCTCTCATAGCAGCAAAGGCCACCTTCAAAACAAACCTGGTACAAAACAATGCAGAACTGTTTGCCTGAGTCTGCATAGAACCTGAAACACTAGTTCTGGAAGTGGCTCCCTTCATTTCAGTGAGCTGTTAACTCAGAAACCTAATGATGATTTAATGGTCATTGTTCCTGGCTTGTAGAATAAGCCTGTAAGAATACTATGACTTTTCTCCCCTGTCCAAATCAAGTCTTGGAGCTATGCTTATTGATAAATTCTTTAATAAAAAGATACAATACTCCACTATCTACAGATCAACATGAATTCATCTTGGTGGGTATCATTGAAGAAGTGAGGTTTTTAAAAGGGATTTGAATGAGAGAGGATGATCACCAAAGGCCATTAGTAAATTCCAAGCAATGGGGCACTGGACAAATGCCCAAAGAGACATGGGTGGTGGATAAAAAGGGTGCTGGGATAGAGGAGGGTTGTGTGGTATGAATATAATAGGGAGAAAGATAAAGATTGAGGTGCACAGACTCTTCAAGGACTGGAGGCTTAAGCCTGATGTGGAAGGGGAGAGAGTCACTGAAGGCATATGAAGAAAGAAGTGTCATGGGTGAGAAATGATTTTTAGTCAGTATTTTGGGTTAAATTGGATGACCATGATATGAGAATTAGGAATCCACCAACTTGCACAAGTAAAATGGAGACAACCCAAACATGGACAAGCATATTTTCCATATCCATGGAAAAAGTGGGATTTGGCACTAGCCTGAATGTGATTGGAGAGAGAGTGATGAGTCATACAATAGAATTATGAGAGCCTGGGAGATTGGGGTGGTGGTGATCTCTTCAGCCAGGAAGAGAGACTTTAGAAGGAAAGACAAGAAAATCAAATTTTGCTGTTTTCTTATGATATTCATTGATTATAAGGCAAGAAAAGACCACTCTGATCATCTAGTCTGACCACCTGCCTAGGCCAGGCCGTAGGATTTTTCCTGAACTAATGCCTGTTAAACTAAATCCTATATTTTAGCAAAACGTCCAATCTTGTTTTTTAAATTTCCACAACTTTTGGTAAGTCGTTCCAATGGCTATTAAAATTTTATACCTTATGTCTAATCTGGACTCATCCAGCAAGCCAAACCACTGCCAAATAGAGAAGACCTAGAACCAGCTCTTCTCTTCTGCTGTGACTAGAGCCCTCTGAGTCCAGGGGGGCGGTCTGAACTCTAGGACCTGGGATGAGCTGGAACTTAGGCGGGCTGCCTGCCTTCTTTCTAATATCCTTTAAATGCAGAGCTGCAGTGGGGATTGGATCAGGCCCTAGGATTTGTATTTTGTTCTTATTTTAGGGTGAAGATCACTCATTTGCAGAACCTACACAAGG